TATATATATTTGTTGCTCTCCAGGAACATACCCTCTTTAACCCTAAAGATCAAGAGGACGATTCATGATCAACTGCCCCTTTCACATGAGTGAGAAGAAGCTGCTTTCAACTTGCCATTAATCTGCTCCAGATGTCATTCAGCTGTCTGGCCCTTACTTCTGCTCAACAAATCCCATATCCCAGTGACATCAGCACATTGACAGCAAACTGATTCAAATTTTTCATCCTAGCATTCAAATGGAAAACACTGAGGTCAATCTTACGAGATACAGGACATACTTTGTGTTTATCAGTCACACTGATCAAAAGAAGGAAAGTCACAGCAGGTTTTCCTGGAATTCTGTCTCTGTCCAGAAGGACTAGTTTCCTGATATTTGATCAACATGTTTATGGATTAAAGGGGAGGTCAAGGGAGAGATTATATAAAGCCTATTAAAGCAATAAGATCTCCGTTGACTTTTCCTGTGTCTGAAAGTCCTGATCATAACAAGTCACACGGATGCCGAGCGTCTGTCTGATGTAAACATGTAGAACTGAAATGCTTACTGAATCGATGACTCCTTGCAGAGCCTCAAATCCATCATTTACAGGGAAGACGTGGTCTTTACTATCAGCAATGTTTGCCAGCTAGAGAGAAAACAAATTACTGTGATCAAAAGAGACAAGTGGCACACTTATTCATCCAAGATTTCTATTCAGACATTGTCCAGTGGCATAACAAAATTACACAACTTCCTTTCTTTAGAGCTCAAAATAAAACAGCTTGAACGACAAACAAAGGAGGCGGGAGAAAAGTTCTCTTCACTTGGCATGTTGCAGTGATTAGGAAACCAAGCCTTTGGATAAAGCTGCATAAGTTAAAACATATTTCATGTCTTTGCTGGAGTACTTAACTCACTTGAATATGTTTGCTTCAGCTGTCCATGAACAGAGACAGTGACACGGGGTTTAAATTACGTACAGTTGTGACTTTATGTGATGTCAAGCACTTGACTCTTTAAAAACACTAGTTTCAGGATTTTCAAAATAAGGTTTGGATTTCCAGAGCTTAAATTTTTACAGCAGTGCTATCCATTTCTCTCTCAAGTTCAGGTGCCATAAGCCAGTAAGGTTCAGACTAAAACTTAAAAGCATACACACACCTGTGTCTCATTGAAGTCCTTCACCCCCACGCAGTAAACCGAGGCACCCAGACTTCGGGAGCGGTTGGCCTGTCAAGTACACACACAGATTTACAGCAAAAAACAGGAAGACCTGGCTTCAATTACACCTCTGCATTTCACAACACCATCCACAACAAACCCAAAAAAGGCTTGTTTTTATCTGGCACTTGGAAAAGCTCTTTAAAAGAAGCCAGGCACCATCATAGTTCCACTTAATGATATTAATCACACGTGATGTAACATTCGAAACGTCCCCCAGATGCCACAAAACCAGACAGAAAACATAAGTCAAATTTCCAGTTAATATGTTTTTGGTGTTGACATCGAGAAACAACCTAAGACCTCCCACAGCTTCCAGGAGGAACATTTCCAGGAACACCATCCCCAATGTCAACAAGCAACTAAAAGCTGATTAAAGCCTGTGGCTTTCACACGCCCTCACCTGCAAAGTCTAAATAATCAGAGGAGCAGCTGAATTATTAGAGGCCAGAGCAGATGCGAATAGAATGACTGAGCTCTGGTGTATGAATCCGGGGAAGGCTCTGGCCCCGCTGTCTGACTAAAAGATGAGGATCAAAGTGGTGATGTACAGAATGGCAGTGTTTGATCTGGTCCCACATATGTTTAATCATTTACATATTTCACCTGGTTGTGAAACACGTGTGACCTATTTTCTTCCTCTCACCTCCCTCTCAGCGTAGAAGAAAAGATCTTCGTGTAACTCTCCGTCCGTCAGAGCTATGATAACACTGGCAGTGCGATAACCTGTGAGCAAAAAGAATACAGTCACCCCTGCTGCAGTTGTACTGGCCTAGCAGATGAAATACTCTAGCTACATAATTCAGATATCCAAAGTCAGATATACAAAGTAACATGATATTTGGCATCCTCCATATATAATTCCCCATATGCCTGTATGTTGTATCGTTAACATGACCCCACTCGACATCCCCACAAAGTTTGATCAGAATTCATCCTAAAATTTCCAAGCTATCGTGTTTACAGGCAGAATGACACAAACGCATGCACGCGCTACCAAAACGTAGCCCACCTTGACAGAGCTAACAGAACACTGTTTGTAGTTACATAATCTAAACCTTAATTGTTGTAATTGCATATCTTATTCAGTCTAAATCAAATCACATGCATCTAAAGGCCTCCTAAAGGTGACCTCAAGTTAACGAGCAAATGTAAACCATAACTAAAGCCACGACTGTTGGCTCTTTCTGACGTGTGCATAAATTTTCAAAGGCTTACACTGAAGGTTACCTCTTCCCCTGAGCTCTCAGCAATAATTGTGTTCTTCTTTGTCAAGTTGTTTATTGTGACTAGTTTATAGGCCTGGACCAGTAACAGCATCATTAAAGCACACACACATACACACACACACACACACACAAAAAAGGCAATTTCATGTGGGAGCATCATTTAACAGTGTTTTTTTGCTCAGATGCTAATTATCTTGTGACCCCTTTGACCTCCTGTCCCTAAAGTCGGTAACACCCATTTGAGTTCAGTAAAGCACAGAAACAGACAAAACTTTCATACATTCACAGGTTTTGGTAAAAATGACACTTGAAAAATCTGCAGCGCACTATAAGGAGGAATAAAACACACCTTCTATGTTTCCGTGGTATATCTGCTCACTGGCCTGCAAACAATAAAAGAAAAGATCAATTAAACATGCGTAAGCCTGGTAGCATGCAAGGAATGAGGGAACTCCTTGCGTCTCTAACATTTCAGTCATCTAGTGCTCTGAACTACGTGGTGACTGTGCTGCAGCTGAAGCAGGAGGTGCCAGCTTGAAGGTCCACTCACCCTCATGATGCCCAGATGCATGAAAGTGTCTCCTCCTGGTCGAACCAACTCAAGCTCCTCCAGTCCCTTGCGAATGCGTTCCCTGAGCGGACACGCAGAAGACAAGGGAATATCTAATCTAACTGAAATATTTATTTTGTCAGATTCATTTCTGAACATGGTTTTGCATAAAAACCAGATACTTTAGGGCGTGGCGACAGGATAATAGCTTCCATAAGGGCAGCATTTTGAGAAAATGCAAGCAATGTGTAACAGATGAATAAACTGGAATGGTATTGGTGTGTGTTGGCCTGAGACACTTTTGCACAGACAGACAGGAAATGAGCCTTTTGTAGAGTAAGATCTACAGGAAGCACTGAAACATTAAAAGATTGGATACATAAACTGCCCTCATCGTGTCAAACACCACATGATTAAGTATTTGTGCAGACTGGCGACACTCTGCAGAGCAAAGGAAAGTATCTGTCTGGAATCTCTTCTTGGTCATAAAAATCATAAGCGCATAACTGTATGTGACCTCAGTCCAGATCTGGTATTACGCTCATTCCTTTCAGCTGGATGGCAGAAAATTAAAGGATTAGGACCAGTTTTTGTTTTTTCTTGTTGTGGAGGAGGGGCTGCACCCACCTGTCTTCTGTGAGCCTCATTAAGATCCGTCCCTCAGTGGAGAACACAATGAAGGACATCCGCAACTGTGGGCTGGAGAAAAGACAGGAGAAAACATTCATCTGTCATCATTTCTTGTTACAAACTTTCCCGCAGATTCTTGTTACAACACTTTTATTTCTTTACCTTATGAACTTCTGAGCTAAATTTTCAACAAAGTGATAGATTTCAGTCCAGTGATGCTGCACGCTCCCAGATCTGAGAAGAAAAAGATCAAATTAATATGATGATGTGTTATTTAAAATCGCAGCTGTGCATCTAAACTACATCACCTCTCCTCTGGCAGTAGCCCAAGGCATTAATAAAAAAAAACAAAACCCTAGCACTTTCAGACAGGTGCAAGACCAAGTCTTAAAAAGACCCCAAAGCACCTGAAATTATACCACCATGTCTTTTGAGTCTTTTGTATGTTGTTTTGTCTCCATAAAAAATGAACTTTATGTCTGTTTTAATCTTTGTATGTCACTGTGAAATATGGTTCGTGGTCTCTCTTCTGTTGTTTGTGTCTCTTTCGGGTAGCTGCGGTCATGTTTTTGAAGCTGTGCATCTGTTTGTAGTTGTGTCTCTTTCTGTAGCCACCGCCCCTGACATTGGGGGCCCTTGTGGCTGTGCCCAGGGGGGAAGGAGTGCTTACAAAGAAAACAGCTGACTTGAAAGAGCCTGCAGAATAAATGCTTTGGAGAGCATGGTGAACTTACTCTACGAAGTAGTAATGATCTTCGAATTTCTAAAATCCTCTTTGTGCACCTGTAGTTACTTTAGTCTTACAGTCATCAAAATACACTCACAATAAGGCTTCGTTAACCCTGCTGCGTAATAACATCCGCTCAGTGTTTCTGTTAATCATTTTGAACTTTGTTCTCTCTTTACTGTCACAGTTTTTACTTAACGTTTTTCTTGATTGCATAGGAAATGCCACAGCAAAGTTAGCCAAATCCCACTCTGTTTTTTGTCAGGAAATAAAAATCAGGAGATCGAGGAGGGATTAAAGGATTTAGCAGAGAAGCTGTTTTGTATAGTTATCTCATTATTCAATTATCTGTATCAATATCAGTACACAGCTACAGTTTTTTTGGCTGATAACGCCGACATTTTGTGAGCCTAGATGTCTTTTGAATGTGTCACTGCTGATTTTTATCACGGCTTTCAATGAAATTGTGTTTTCATAACACACGTATTTTTCCATTGTCACCATGACACAAGTCCCAGCACAAACATCTGAGCCAACAGGCTGAAACACTGGAACATCTGGACCAAGTGGAGAAAGGCAGCGCAGACATGGGGAAAAGAGAGAAGAGGAGAAGAGAGATCAGGCAGATACTGTGAGAAGACAGTGAGGGCAGGTGGAGGACATCGCAGCTACGAGGCAAAGTGAAGTCCCACCTGGAGAGGAGACAGAAATTTAAAGGAACAGCTAATGCCCGACAACAAATGCTGCCAGGGTGCACCTGTAAACCTGTGTCTTTGAAACATGGCTAATGCAAACAGTTGCTCACTCCTGCATAAGTGCCTGATTTTTCCTCTAAGAAATAGCAGCATGTGCCTGGACTTGGCACTGAGAAGTACTGTAGGACAACTGGAAAATCTCTCTACCTCTGCATGTAGAGACTCTCTAAACAATGGAGCTACAGAAAAATCCACCAATTAAAACCTCCAAATAAAAAAAGAGTGGTTTAATGAGTTGGATTTTTTTTTTTCTTGGCCTAGTTGGCCAAGAAGTTTGGCATGTGGTGATATTATAATAAAAACAAGTCGTTTGAAACCAGGATTTAAAAATACAAATGTCAGAAGGTAAGTACTCTGCTATAGTCCAAAGGCAACTCCCTGAGCAATTTAAGCATCGGTTCTAGAGAGGCTATGTGCTGATTTACCTTAAATATTATTAGTTATTACCCTAAAAGGATTAGTTGGGAAAATTCTAAATTTGCAGAGCATCAAAATTCAGGTTTAACTTATCAATGCATCATGTGCTGCCTTCAGAAACCTGCAAAATGAAAAAAGTCCACGACATGCCCACTCCAAAAGACTGTCAAATGTAATTGTGATAGATTATTGTGGGAGGTTTGTGCCACTTTGCAGATTTGTACAGCTGTCTTTGCTGCACTGCTGAATGAAAAACAAAGATAACTCAAACTGAGCTTAGATAAACAGGGAAATGGATTCTAAATCATGACCTGTGTCCAAATAACTTCTCATTATGACTCCCTAAGATACACAGAATTTGAAAATCTGAGAATATGAAGAAACGTAATTATCAAGAGAAGCCTTTTTACTTGCTAGTGAGGTACGTATGTACACCAAACACAGCACTGTGACTGCAGCTGACAGTTAAATGGAGCAACAATCCCAATAATGAAAACATTGCATCATTAACCCATTTTCCTGCATTGCATGACACCAGACTCATAATAATACCAAATGGGGTGATGACATCATAAAAACACTTGGCAAAACCATGATTTTATTGCTGTAGGGGACACAAAAAGCACAATTCTTTTATGCATAAAGTAAATATGCATTTTGAACTTTGTGCATAAGTATGATTTCATAACAATGCATAAAATGTTTAGATAGAGAACTGTCTTAAGTTTTCAGGGTAGGAAGAAACTTTACTGGAGGTAGAAACAAAGACAGACACCAAATTGTTTCGTCAACAAACGCTTCTTCCTAGATTTTTTTCAAAATCATGAACTGCTTTCAGTTATCGATAGAAAACCAGGTAATGTCTGTCAGTTCACTCACTTATCCAAAACAAAGTAGAGATCAAAGCCTCCAAAGCACGAGGATGACTGAGGTTGCCTTCTGTCCTGATTCGGTCCAGCATTGCCAGCAGTAAGAACGACCAGCGCAGTCCCAAACACCACTGGCAACCAGGAGCTTCTCTTCCAGCACAAAGGCATTATTCCAGAAAAAAAAACAAAAGTCTCATAAACATCAGATGATGAAGGAAACCAGCATCGGTTGTTTTCAAAGCTTTAATCCTCCTGCAGAAACTTCTTTCAGTTCTGCACAGATCCTTGAAGTGTAAAAAGCAATGATCCAATAGAGAGCAGCGAGCTTAACTCAGAGGGTGAAGAGGAGGAGAGAGACAAAGCACGAGTGCTATGGAGCTCACTGTTGTTGGGACCCTCTCATCAGTGGTTCCAACACAGTATTATGTAGAGATGAGAAGAGCCCCATGCACCCTCCCACTGATATTTGCTGTTTTTGTAAAGGGCAAGGCCATCCAGCAGAAAGATCCACAAACCCTAGAAGTCTA